CCACAACCACATTCACACCCACAACCGCATCCACAACTACATCCACACCCACAACCACAACCACACCCACAACCACATTCACACCCACAACCGCATCCACAACTACATCCACACCCACAACCACATCCACATCCACAACCATATCCACAACCACAACCACATTCACAATTACAACCACATCCACACCCACACCCACAACCACATCCACACCCACATCGACATCCACAACCACATCCACATCCACACCCACAACTACATCCACACCCACAGCCACATTCACACCCACAACCACATCCACAACTACATCCACATCCACACCCACAACCACATTCACATCCACACCCACAACCACATCCCCATTCACAACCATATCCACAACCACATCCACACCCACACCCACACCCCACCCACACCCACACCCACACCCACACCCACACCCACACCCACACCCACACCCACACCCCCACCCTCTTCTTTTTCTTACAATGTTCTCATGATTAAATTCTAATCTTCATGAACTACTTATAAGAACGACGCGAGAACGATTTATACACTGTTTTTCCTTTATTTATGCGTGTAAGTTTTTTCATCGACAAATTGAGAAGAATGTCAAGAAGAATACTTTTGATATTAAGAGACAAATGTTTAATATTTTTCAAATTTTTGTATAATGTTGGTGATGCTTGATTGAGCATTGGATATTTTTATGATAGATATATAAATTTAATGTCATTAGTTTTCTTTTACTTTAAGAACTTATCTCTTCTTGTCGATTCTGAATAATGGAAAACGAAAAACAAGTTGACGATTTATTTGACAGAGTTGATAAAAATCATGATGGAAAGTAGGAATTAAAAATTAAAATCACATGAAAAATACATATATACATGTTTAGTATTGATAAAGAAGAATTTCGTGATTGGCTTTCAAATCCTGCTAATCGACTGGATCGATATAAATATGATGTTACTTCTTACGATGGTTACCAATCGACGGCTGATAAATATGCTTCATATGGATATGCAGTAACATCTGGTCGATGGTCTTCTGATACGGCGATTAATACAACTACTACAGAAGAAACGAATGAATATCTTAGAAGATCGAATAGTGGTCTTTTTATCGATCATAATCCACGAATCATTCGACGAGAAGCAGTTGAAGGTCCAGTAACACTAGAACAACGAGTTGTTGTTCGATATCTTCAACCACCACCGGTTCCAGAACCAGGAGTAATAAAACAAGTTGTTTAAGAATTCGATCTTACTAATCGTTTTATGATTTTAGCCACTCATTATTAAAGAAGTGCGTCCACCACAACCATCGCCACCTGCACCATTTGTCATACGCGAACATGCACGACCTCTTGCTTCACCACCTCCACTTGTCTTACGTGAACGGCCACCAACACCGCCGCCATATATTCCCAGTGAAACAAGTTAAAAAAAAGATTAATATTACATAGACTTGATTGATCAATGTATTTTTATTTTACAGAGATTCGTACCTTATCTCCTATACCTGTTCCACCACGATCAGTTATCATTGAACGTTTTCCACCTACTCCAGAAAGACCACGTAAAAGATTTATCTTCATTTTTCTTTTCTTTTTTTTTATTCTAGATTGTTATTTTTTGCTATTTAGGCGATATTGTAATTGAACGATGGATTCCCTACGGACCTCGACCTGAACGTCGTACAGTTGTTGAACCTGCTCCTCCTGCTATTACGTATCCACGGCCAACTCATACTATTATTGTTTATGAAACTGTTCAAACGCGTATAACTCGACGATTTGAAAAACGTGGTGTTACCCAAGAAAATCCTGACGCATATGTTGCTCGTTATGGGTCATCACTTTTAGATTCAGCAGCACTTGTTCAAGAAGCTCGACGTGCTGGTGTTATTGAAGATATAGTAAACTTTTTTCAAAACAAAGTACCTTCAAAATAAGTCATATAAATTTTTTACTGTAGACACCTCCGGTATCATCATCTTCAATATATAAAACGATATACGGAAATGTTATTGATTATGATCAGTCAGATGATATAATCCAGCAAAATTTTTCATCATCACGTGTAATTACTGATGTTAAACGTGATGGACTGACGACATATCAAGATGAATTTCAATGACATACTTAAAACATTATTTAACTGAAACTTTTCCCTCTCCAATTGAAAGACATTGAATTTTTTTTGTAGTTTTTACAAGAGAACATATAAATTATATAATAAAAGACAAAAATAAAAAAACAATAA